AAAGTATCACAAAGTACTCATGCAGTAAAATGCTTCCTGTCAGTATTTTACTATTCGTTTTTGGATTAATATTACTGCTGCATTATTGTGTATGTTGCACTAATTTTAACTACTTTATATATTGTTTTTAGTCTATAGCAATGCATCATATTCTATATGTTCATATTTGTAGCATCACTGTCCCGTGAGAATTATTTCTCTTCTATTTTCAACTTTGTGACAATTCATTTGTCACAAATGAATTGAATTGCTAATCAAATAGGGATTTTAAATAGGTTTTTAGTTTAAGAAGAGTTCCTCAACCCAAGCTGTCAGACAAATGTAATGGAGTAAAAAGTACTATGTTTGCCTCTGAAATGTAGATGTATGTATGAAGTAGAAGCATAAAGTTTCAAATGGAAATACTCAAGTTGGAGTACTTGCATTAAGTGAGTTACGACCACTGTACAGGACACAGCAGCTGAGTTTAGACTAAAACACAGGTACAGTTTAAACGTCAGTCCCTGAGGACACAGCAGTAACTCCGTTATCCAGCCCAAAGTCGCAGCTTAAAACTAAAAGTGACTGTTTTTTCTGTTAGGGCCCCTGGGAGAATCATGTGTTAATGTTACATCCTCTGTAAACACAGGACCCAAAGCAGATCTGGCAGGCTAATTTGTTGTTTTATGTATGTTGTAACTTTGTTTTTGATAAATTATATATAAATAAAGTATTATTGTTATTATGAAACTACCTGCTACCATGTTACCAAATTTGTTTATTTTCCATGAGTAGTGCAGGCACCTTCTTCAAACTTCAGACTGCAGACATACAGACTGACATTGCCATTCAAATGGACAGTTTTTTCAAGGTGTGGCATTCAACAATACACAGAAGTCAGCACATTGATTCATCTCTAACAGTGCCTACTACTACAAACTGAACTTAATCATGATTGGGAAGATTGCCTGCCTTGATTGATATTGGCTGTGAAAGAGGTTTAAGTGTGCACTGAATCAAATCCAAATTACTTTGTTTATGGGCACTTGGTACGTGAATCATTGGCAGTTTTGCAAAGTGGTTACCAACAGTCTGAGCCACCACAGAATTTGATTGATTACGTGAATGGCTTTAGGCATAGACTCTACAATACTGACGATGATGTACATATTTTTATACTTTCATATACCGGTTCAGGACTACTTCTGTAGTTTGTACTTTTCCGGACGAGCCCCCATTTTGTCATGAACCGGCTAGAAGTTCAGACAAAACAAGGGAGACCACACAGACAATTAAGGTTTTAAAACAAAAGAAATATATTTAACCAATATTAAATTATACACAAAGTATAAAAAAAATTACATCAGTGTTGTCAGTAGTGTAGTGAGTGTGTGTATATTGGCTTAGGGAAAAAGGTCATGTGAAAACAA